GCGAGCAGAGAAAAGTAGATGTGTTTGCGGGTCGCGTCATTGTTGCTTTGATTAGCGCATTCGGAAAACTGCACACGTAACGCCGAGCACAGCGAAAGGCGGCAGAATTCCAAAAGACAGCAATATAAATTGAATATGAATGCCACTAAGCAGCAAATATGTGTGCGGCCCATGCTTGGGTTGTGGGAGGTTCGGGGGCGTTTTTATGGGAGTTAACATTGCGATTATGCTACGTGCCGTACGATAGAAGCCTTCCTTAAACAAAGCTTACGCGTACTTGCAACTCATTCTCCATAGTCTCTTATCCACGATCAATACTGCTCCTTTATTGTTCTTGCGCTAACAATATTGCGAATCAAATTTCCCAAACGCATTCTTTTGCAGTCCCCACAGACATAACAACTTTTTGGCATTTTATTCCGATCCGATTCCGGCTTTGCAGTCTAAAGAAGACAAAACAAGAAGTCGCAGACATGAATACAAAAATCGAAAAAATTAAAATTGCAAAATGTTGTTGTGTGTATATGAATGCCAGTGATTCTTAGATAAAACCCGCCACGATTTTGAAGGAAGTCGACAAGGTCGTTGCGTACTTTGCGGCGCATTATACGCATCACACAAGGCAAAAATTCAATCTGCTTTGATTACTGGTATTTGTATCAAGTTTGGGTGCTAAGGATCTGTTTAAGTATTGATGCGTTTATGCGTACTAAGTAGGGTTGAGTATTTTCACAGAAGTTTCTAAATGTGAATTTATGGATTTGTCCACACATAGCTGTGCGATCTTGTGTACTAGCTTTGTCAGAAAGAAAATTTTGGGAAAATGTTTTCCAAATATTGTTCATGGGCTTAACAGCTAAACCACTGTCTGCTTTGAGCTTGTACTGTCTCATTATGTGAAGATATGAGCACTGACTTACCTTTAGAGAGATACAAACTGTTGGGCACAGCTTCCGACCGTTTCTCAATTCCTGCGTATTAGAAGATTTCGCTGCCTACTTTTAGGCTGAGTTTGCTCTTCCCCCTATTGTTACCGTTGTTTGACCAAACCAAGTCATAAAATTGCTACACAACAGTTACATTAATGCAAAAATTTTAGAACCAGATTCTCGACGTATTGCGTGCCACACATTGTTGCCACCATTTTATCTCTTTAATCCATTAAATCATGCGAGAACACAATAAATGAGCATGGGCCAAATTCCTTGATAGGGCCATATACTATAGTTGGCCTTGGGCTGCTCGCCAATTTTCTTCAATCTCCCCATCTACCTCTTTCCTCCACTCGCGGCCCTTCGGTCTCATTTAGTTTTTCGCGGAGTTTGTGCGGCGTTTTGTGGCTGAAATATTGCGTACACGGACTGTATTTGCATGCCAACAAATATTCGAGAAGCAAACTAACGACTGAAATGCCGTCTTATCTAGTCAAGTCTCCATTTCCCATAACCACCTCGGGTACTTCTCCGATTGTCAGTGTCCTCACACCCCTATTTACAAATATTGCCCTATTGTTTTAATTTTCATGGAGCATTTTTAAGACCATCTGCTTCACCAAGCATAAGGAAATGTCAGCTAGCAGCAAAATTAAAGATACATGAAAGTGCAAGCTTTATGATTGTTCCTATTTTAAATGTAGAGATGTAAGCGTTCAATTCCGCTACGCTTAGAACGCCTTAAGAAGGTCTACAAATCGATGAATAACGATCAATTGCAATACAACACTTATGGCGAAAACTAAAATTAGGTTTTTTTGGCTTTTCGTTGAATGACAATCAAATCATACCATATCTGACATTTAATACAATGCAGTCCATAGTATCGTTAATGACTGATTTCAATTGTTGGTTTCATTACTGGCCATTATTTGTTTGATAAACAAGAGAGAACGCTACAGTCGAGCAAACCCGACAGTGTAATACCCTGTACCCAGGTAAACTTCCGTCACTGAATTATATGCGCCCAAAGCAGCAGCAAAAAGAGGAAGAAGAAGAGCGAACTTGTTGCTGCAGTTTGTGGGGGTTGTACTGGCGAGAATTTGTTTTGCTAATAACTTTTCTTAGAATAGACCGAATTGAATAAAATTATATATAAATTATATATAAATTATGTGTGCAATGTTTGGTTTTGGTAGCATTTGAAATGTGGACGCTATTGACGAAATTCTGTAGCGGAGGAAGGGGGGGAAAATTAAAAAAAAAACTCGTCCTTTCTCGGACCTAGGAGAATCTGGAGGCCAACTCTGGTTATTCTAGCTTTTATAGTTTCTGAGATCCTCGCGTTCATCCAGACGGACGGACGGACAGACGGACGGACATGTCTAGATCGATTTCTCTCGTCATGCTGATTCAGAATATATATACTTTATGGGGTCGGAGATGCTTCCTTCTGCATGTTACATACTTTGCACAAACCTAATATACCCTTTTTACCCTACGGGTACAGGGTATAAAAATGCGCTTTTTGCAGCATGCTCTGAAATGTATGCCAACAAAAATGAAACATTGAAACAGAATTGTAGAAAACTTTCTTTTAAGCCCTTTAGGTGCTAAATATGCCATATAAAATAATAAATATGTTGTAAGTTTTTAGACTCATTGTACTATGCCTTTGACATGTAACCATGTCCCCTCCGCTGGTTTTTCGTTTAAGTTGCACTTTTTTTGTTATGCTCCCTTTCCTATATTGGCGAACGGGAATGGCAGGTTCATATTTAAATGGGCACGTCAGCGCTACCAACGACGTGACATAATTAGCCAGACTCGCGAGGATGTCGAGGGACACATCCCGTCCGGACGAGCCAGGGGCTGTGCGAGTGTGACGGCATGCGACAAGCGTAAAATATTATTTACCACTTAAATGAAAAATTATGCTCAATTTCAACAAATTTATGGGTTAAGCTACTAAACAACAACAACACCGAATACATTTTTGCACATAAATTTCGCGCGCTAATAACAATAACAATAATCATCAACAACAATGGCTAGCGGGTAAAGGCAAAGGCACAGGCTCTGGCACGGGTGTGGCTGTGGCTGTGACAAGCATTTATGGCCGCTTGTGGCCACGCCCCCAACAACAACGATATCAATAGTAGCAAGAATGAAAAAAATTATTACTTCGGGGCGTATGCGCGAAATGTGTGGTTATCATTAAGCGATTAAAATTTTTTATTAATTATGGCCGATTTTGCATATTTCATCGTAACAGGCTAGTATGAGTGTGTGTGTGGGTGGGTGTTCAGATATGTAAATAGAATTGGATAAATACGAGTATGCTGCAGAACTTCAAGCCATGAAGCACTTTATTTCAATTTGATTTAATTTCAAATTGTACATATATTGATAAAATAACGCATACGCATTCGAATGTGCATTGTCAATTCCTTAAGAGTTTACTCAACCATATGCATAAATGCGAGTAATGTGTCTACAATCGTAGTATATTATTATGAAACAAATTAGAGTAGGGGCCAAGCATTCAATTGAATTACTCACTAAACAAACGATTTTAAAACAAATACATATACGGCAAAACAAATCGGACTGTTGTAAGTCCACAGAAGTAGGTGTTTGTGAATCAATGCATTTTTTATACGAATACTATATGTGAAATATACTATATGTGTAACACTTATACTCAAATCGTTCTATATTTTAGCAACGCGAAGGAACAATATATGTGTAGATGAAAGCAAAGATTGGGTAAAGCGGGAGAAGCACCCCCACTTCAATTTAGTTCACTTTCGGGGAAAGAGCCATGAGACAACACCTCCTCGATACCATAAAAACTGTGATGATTGAAAAAGACAGTGAAATGTTTAGTATTACAGTACATTTTAATAACATCACACTACGAGTATGAGCACTAAATCCGCTTAAGCAAATACATACCTCTGTACTTAGTGAATAGTAGTTATGTTGAATTAAACGGCTATTGTAGCCATCACTATGAGTAAGTAAAGGAGCACAGAGACTAATCAATTTACTGAATATGGGATACGCTTATTGACGCCACACTGAACGAGTCTCTATTCAATTGAGCACAGTCAAGTTCATTTTTAAGTTGTTGGATCAAACAAATAAACTGTTAAGCCCCTTTTTATACACTATTCTTGATGCGAAAATGATATAAGTGTGTGTGTCACTTGGTCCGTGCTTCTGTCATTGCAAGCATTTCTCTTAGAATTGGGATCTTGCAACTGCGTAATTTTACTGCTTAATTATTCTGTATTCGGGTTTCATTCTGATGCGGCAGCATTAAAAGTGCCCATTTAAAGGTTACCAAATAGGTATTCTTTCCAGGACAATAGATATACGATTTTTATTGCTTCTGCATTGATTTGTGTGTAGCTACACACACACAGGCACACGCATTGCGAGTATGTGTGTGTTACTATTTTTTGGTTCAACTACCACCTTTGAATTGATACCGACTGCCACCTCGTACGTTTATCTGTTTTGTCATCGAAAAATGAGTAATTGAATGGTAATTAATTAATAATATTTGTTCGATGTTTTATGAGGCTCCTGTTATACAGAGACGATGGAAATGCGGCCTTAGGAGTGCGGCCTTTGAACCATTCGTTATAAGAGGCAGTGGAAGCTTTATGACATCCTATGCTAATGTTTGGAAACATCGAATTTTTTTTTTTTTTTTTTTTTTTTGTTTACCACGACAAAGAACATTTTTATGTTTTGTGAAATTAGCCATTGAAAAGAAACACATTTCTAAATAAAAGGAGCTCTTGTTGGTGCTTTGTTTTTGAATTCGTTCTAGCTTATGTTTGCCACACCTTGTGGACATTTATTACTTCTTTTATATATATATATATACAAGTATATATATATATATATATATATATATATATATATATATATATATATATATATATATATATATATATATATATTGAATTTATTGTACCATTGTACCACTTATGTTTTTATTTCTTCTCATTGCAGATTCGTTTGATTTGGTCTAATAATGGTCAATATTATGGGATTAAATTCTATTTTATAGAGCCACCACAGTAAGTAATCTAATCCATGTGCATTGAACTCATTCAAATATGTTTGTTTATTTACAAAAATATGCCGACAGGCATGGGCAGCATAGCCCATCCCTCCATCAAATCAGTTCAGAATTATTATAATAGCATAATACAATTATAATTACTTATCTTAAGAGCTGCTGGGTGCAGTAGATATACGAAGAAAAATTTTAAAGGATATGAAAAGCTTTATTTGATCACGACGTTCTAAACATTCATCGATTTGGAGTATTTTGTGCCACGAAAAAGTCAGAAGAATAGATAACTTAACTTTGTATCAATCTACGATTAAGCAAGGATCGCAAATATTAAAAAACTTTATATGATTAGAAGTAAGAGGAAGTCTTATAATAATCCTGATGGGTTTAGTTCTTTACTTCAATGGAAAAGGGAGATCACTAACTGAGATATACGCTTATTCATCTTGTAGAAGTATTTCGTTTATGCGTGCTATGCTAGTTCCGAAGTATTAAAAAAGATTTCGAGCATCAGTATGTTTTTTTTAAGCTTCTAGGAGTTTTAGCCTTTCTAGAATACAATGTGAGGATGCTTGGGCGAACGTTTAGAGATATTTAATATTTCAATCGATAATGTGATTAAAAACTATACGTGTAATAATATTATATTATACTTTGCACTAATCTATTAGCGAGTATTGCGACGAATTTATATAATTAGTTGCTACATATTTAACTAAGAACCTCAACACATACTTAAAAATTAACCTTAAATACTGTCTTGAGATATTGAAAATGCAAACACGCCTGCGCTCTAGAAATGCTCGCCCTCATTCCCTTCACCTTACGTTTTGATTGATTGATGTAACACTTTATCTTGCTCACACACCTCAATATGCTCTCTGGTTTGCCCAGCTTGAGGCTCATTGCTCCTTCTGTTTGTGCCGTGCAGCAGACAGAAAAGCAGAGCTTCTGTTCGTTCCCCTCACTTTGTCCATCCTACTTATATCTCCACCAACCACTTCCTTCATCTACCACCGGAGCTCATAACAAATTGCAAATCATATTTATTATAAGCCAAATGCAGCGCACACGGCTTTTTAATTAAAGTGCCACAACCCACGCCTCCAGAGCCGAGGCCACTAACTCTTCAGCACACATCCGCAATCACGTTCCTTTTCTCACCCCATGACCACCTTCATCAGTCCTCCTCACTACCCAGCTCACGCCACATACCGCCCACCGCCCACTACCCACCACCAACACTCACTTCTGTAAACTTCTGCACATCCGCACACATTTCACTTAGCCGCAACTAATAAAATATAAAACCCAATTTCATTGAAAAGCAGTCGCAGCCATAGCCCCGGTACCGGTTTGGTTTGCCACGCCACCTTTCCTTCCGTCCCACTCCAGCCCCCACCTGCTATGCCTCCCTGCCACACTTCCCCTTAAAACTGCAACGCTACCAAGAATTTTTGCAGTTTTCTTGTTGGAAGTTTTGACGCCGCTTTTCATTTTAGGCTTTTGGTTTACCTCTCTCTTTCTCGTGCTCTTTTCCTGCTGCTCTTTAAAGCACTTTTTGGCTTAATGCCTTCCTAATTGAAAGTTGCAAAAATTAGAGGTAAAATGAAAAAATGTTGTTGAAAAAAGTACGGGAAGAGCGCCAACTGCGAACGAGGCAGGCAGCGAAAACGGCCAATGGCTAAAGTTTGCGGCCGGCGCATGAAACCGCATAGAATAAGATGATGAAGAAGCAGCAACAACAAGAGTAAAAAAAAAACACGCACAAAATAAATCTAGGTGAAAAGGTGAGGCGCCGTTCGGAAAGAAAGGATATTCAAAGCTTCCTAACTGCCCTTCTATATCGGTGCCAGCCTCCTACCTAGGCTAGTGGCCTTCTCGACCTCCTGGCAGTGCATGAGCATGCCATTCAGCAGAAAAACGCCAAAGCAAGCGAAAAAATCTTAAAAGTTACGAGTTTTAAGTCAATTATAAACATTTTGAAGCCCACATACTATTTCGCAACAAATCTTTTGCTACGTTAAACAAGCCCCGGAACCTTTGATGTAATTGAAGCAGACAGACATAATTATTTCTGTGGAATTATAATTATAATTAACCCTTCATATGGCGACTTCAAAACTTGTCACCAAACACGATCACTTCACTTAGAAGAAAGATCACAGAGCAATAATGATCATGGTTCCTTTACACAAGGCCTTAGTGTGTGCTTCCAAATCAATATACGAGCAGGTACAAGAAAGTGTAACGAGCCTTGGCCAGCGGGCGGGTTCGTGGCTTACTTATCTCAACTATTACATTCGAAATCAAGCCAGAAACAGCATTTAGGTCAGCAACGGCTCATACACAACGAGTAAATCGTTGTTGCGAGTCCGTTTGTACTAAGCTTGATTTCTGCTCCGATCGCACACTGAGACACTAAACATGCGGAATCTCTTTAGCCTTTTGTTACAGGGTATACAAAAATATGTTGAGGATAAATTATTATTAAATTTAAATATTTTAATAAATAGTTCATTGGATATGCCAATATATGTATAATATCTATGGCTATAACCGAACAAAATAAACCGTCTCCATTTGCCAATTTTATTTTATAATTGTCTCTTTCATGCTTATGTACTTCTTTACTTTACAAACATTTAAGAGAAATGTTACGCTCTTTTGCTCTCAACGATTGATCCAAATGCGTTATCTTGCTCCTTTATGTTTGTTAATGCACATAGTAAAAGAGTAATAAAATTAAAATTAAATTATAATTAAATTAATTAAAATTCAGTTACAAAATATAAAAAACGTTGTACTTACACATATGTACATACTTGTAACATACTGATTAATGCTGATCGTTTTTATAATAAAATTATCTTAAAATTGGGAAACCTTAATTGGAAATCTTTATTGGAAACCTTAATTGGAAACACATTTACTATCACTTAAAAAAAACAAACAAAATTTTGGCACTGTCCAATTGATTTGAAATCATGCACACGCACATATGGATGTACATATGTATGTACATATGTACATACAAACATACATATGCATATACACAGCCCATACACAAATATCGCGGATTCTGCGCACTTTTAAACGCATATTATGCACATGGAAACACATTGACAAACACTTAAAAAAACAAACAAACAAACAACATTTTTGCACAGCGCAATTGATTTGAAATAGTTCACACGCACACATGCAAACATACATACATATGCGCATACACGGCACATACACAAATATCGCGAAAACTACTCGATTTTAAACACACATTATGCACGTTTTACATTTAACTAAATTTGTATGTACCTATACATATATACATACGTATGTTTGCACATAATTCCGTAAATATTTAAAATATTAACCAAAAATATTCTAATATTTTCGGCAACCACAACAAGTACCGCGACGCGTTCAACAGCTCGAGCAAAACTACGACATGCCCGCAGCTGCTAGCAGAATGCTCTCTCCAAGAATGCAAAAGTAAAAGCAAGGCAACAAAAATCATAACTGTAAATTAGCTCTCGCGCCTGTCATGCGTAAGGGCGTAGCAAGGATCGCGGCAAAAGGGTTTTTCACATATTCAATTCATATTGTTTGATTCATACAAGAAACTAAGTTTTGTAAATTTTGTTTTAATTGTTTATAAATTAACTTAAATTTAATTAATAAATTAAACAAATGAACTTTATTATAAATTTCGGTAACATTTTTTAATAATCATTTAAATGCGTGTTGACAAATCAAGAAATTAATTAAACAAATTATGATTTCGGTATAATGATTTAATATTTATTTAAACCCTTTCAATGTGCATACAAATATATATTCTTTAATCAATCAATAAATATTCGTACATATATACATGGTGTAAATTAAGCCCCTTTTGTGTTCTGTCCTGTCTACACCCATTCATGTTATTCATCTAATTTGATTTGCTGTGTTGTTTATTCCTTGCTTTCTACTTCATCTTGAAAGAGAGCGTTCGTGAGCGAGAGAGCGTATTTGTGCAGAGATCAAGGTTGGCTTAGTTTTCTTTGCGTGGTTCAGCGCCGCGCCGTCTGGCTGCTCAGTTACGCAAAAATATTATTAATGTTTTGCTTTTATGTTGCCAATTTAGCAATTCCCCGCCATCTGTGTAGTTTTTGTACCCTGTACTTGAAAGAGCGTCGTAACTGTTTCTCTCTAACTAATTTACACAGAAGCATGTCTTTTGGTGTGTGTATTTATATTTCAATTTTGCACAAAGATGCCTTATGTGTGTACGCTGTGCAAGTTTGTTTGTTTCCACCCTATGGGAGTTTTCCCGATCATCCATTCGTATAATCACTTATATCTCGGAGACTAGGGAGGTAAAATCATGCAAATATATATTTTTACATTTTCTTAATTTCTTTAATTTCTATAATTATTCTACACATATGTATAGGGTATTTAAAAGTCGGGATACCCGAATTTAGCTTCTCCACTTGTTTATTTCTTCACCTATATATTTTTTATGCATATGTTTGGGTGTGTTTGTGAGAGAATAAAAATCGTTGTTGTTGCGGCGCACTCCAAGGTTAAGTCCGAATTAGGCAGGCATTTCATTAAGTGGGAGGCAACTGCAGGCAGGCAGGCTGGCAAGGCCATGCTGGCGAGTCTGATAATTATCAATCGCGCAACTACCTAACCAGACAAATTGTAGTCGAGCCGCTGGATCCGCACATGACCCCAAGGCTGGTGTGCCAGAACAACTCACGCTCTGAACTCTCGCAGTCTACGGATAACTGAGTGAGTGACTGACTGGCTGAATGACTAAATGTAGCCCGCAGGGATGGAAGCTTTAGCTCGCAGCACCCCCACATTGTCCAGATAACAACAGTTTTTCTGTTCTTGATTAGTAACAAAGAAAATATATTTCATAATTCCTTTTATTACAAATTATAGCGCACTGTTGTGTGGACGATAATGGTGAAAGTTTTGCATATGAAAACCTCCATTTAACATTAT